TAATTCCGAAGTGCTTTTCATGGCTTTCATCGCGTCGAAAAATCTACATGAAAAACAAACGACTTTGTCCTGTCGCCGCGGACGCCAATTTGTGATGCGAGGTTCTTGTTGCTGATTTGTTTCTCCCGGGCTGAGCCTCAGAGAGTTTTGTTAATAAGGACAAAGCCGTTCGGTTTCCAAGAAACACACAAAAAGTTTAATTGAAAAGAAAAAAAAGGCAAAGATTCCTCACAAAACAAAACACTTAATAAACAGTTGACTGGACATGACGAAACACATCTGTAAACACCCAACAAAAACGTTCAAAGTCAGTAACTAAACCAAACGTTCGAAAGGGGCTGAGTGATGGGAGTAGCGCAAGATATCTGTTCGGTCTCACCCACACGCTGAATTCCGCCGACGATGAGCAAACCGGAACGCGGTGATTCCGGCTTCAGGACGCGGGCAGGACGGGGATGAAGGAACGCTGGCTGCTGACGACACGTCGAGAAACCAGGCCGGAACGTGGTGGCTCTGGCTTTAGGAGTGTGGACCCGTCTGTGACGAGAGAACGCAGGCTGGTGGTGACGCGTCAGAGAACCAGGGTCGACCTAGTCAAGCAGCTGGGCGCACAGCTCGGGCCCGGAGCCCGACGGCTGTAGCTCGCCTGCCGGAACCAAAGTCCGCAGGCCCTGGAAAGGAGTTCAGGACCGGATGGCCACGGTCCTTTGGAGCGGGAACACGACGGCAGGAGGCCCCGGCCGGTTGAAGACCTGCAGGCTCGGGTCCTACGCCCGACGGCCCATCTTCAGCGCCCGGTCTGGTGACGACCTTCCGCTTGCCCCGTCTTCTTCGAACTCCCCTTGCTCTGGTCTGCTCAGGCTCCTGCTTCAGCTCTGGCCCACTTGTCTCGTTCTCATTGGAGATACTGCTGTCTCGTGGTGTCAAGCCATTGGGCCTTGAAATCTCCGTGTTCGCTGCCCATTGGATGTTTTACCTTTTGTTTACTTCACGTCCTGCCACGCATCCTCGTGCTCGACGCTCTTTAACGTCGTCATTCTTGTTTAAGCAGCACCGCACGTGCACTCTGGTATTTCTCCTTTTGTTTTTTTTTTTTTTTTTCCCGTGACGCGCACTTTTCGAAGGCGCGCACTTTGAACGCGCACCACACATCACACTCCTACATTGGTGAATGCTCCAAACAGTAATGAGTTTATTATTCCAGGACATTCATAATGAGTTGGTACGTGATGACTAGAGTCAAAGTGGAGACTCAGCGTTTCACCTCTTTGGCGTGCCTAGTTTTTCTATCATGAATTATGTCTCGGTGTACGCATAGTCATTTCATGGTTGCGCTATATTTTCTGGTTTTATACTTTACAGCAAAAGCTAGTATGAGATCACAACAATTGTCACGCACGCACCGTTGTCCATCACACGTGACCACATTGGCAATTCAGGCTCGGGCATAATTTTGCAGTGTTAAATCTGACTACAGGGATGTTACACATCACTATTGCTTGTTAGACTTGAATGAACAATAAAAAGATTAGTGCTAAGTAATATGTTAAATTTTAGGCAGGCAGTCGTTTAGCGGGCTAGGAGTAGTCACGATAACTACGCATACAGGAAAATTTTTTCAATAAAACGACTGCACAGCATAGACTTTTAACATTTACAGCGTGGAGGATGTATGATCTTCCCTACCATTGAAGAATGACTGGCATAAAGATATTTTACACCTTTTTGCTCCTCCTTTCAGTTACAATAGTAAGTGCAAATTGCTAAAAAGTAATGGAAAAACCTGGCTTCAAAAAATATTCTTGAGGCCTTTGCTACATAGTAAATTTAGAATCAATATTCCTTAATTACACCTTTGATAGTATGCCAGTTGTTTAGTTTGTGTATAAGGTCGTGACCATGTTTAACTGTTTTTTCAGATATTAGAGCACGTGTTTGTAATGTCATTCGAACTTCAGGCAGTTATGTCGCAGATGAGCAAGCGTCTTTATCATGCCTGCTTGCTGGCTTTGAGTGCTTGTCTTAACATCTACCGGTTGTCAAACACGAATGTGCCACCTTTCAGCATTCTCGCAAAAGCAGACCAAGAAGCCGACTTATAGTACTCTTATACAAATATTTCTTACCTCTTCTATATGCACCAGCACAAAGTGACGATTATTGATAGTTGAAGCGTCTATTGAGCTATACACCAGGTAGTTTGCAGAACAGCCTGGCGAGTCTCTTCTGTAATTTACAAAGAGGAAGCTCACTTGAATGCATGACCATTCTAAGAGTCAGAGTACCTTGAATGAATGAACGAATCTGCACTACACCAAAGTAGAGGAAATGGTCCTCGAACAAACTTACCTAGGTAGTGTTTCCACTAATGAACAAGATGGCTCTCACAAGCAGAATATTCCCAGTGAAATGCCATTCATGCTAAACAGTGCTTCAAGTGACCTTGTTAAAGTTGGACAGTAGTTACAGTCACTGTTTTGTCAGCCATGCACATTTAACGCTTGCGCCGACCACAAAAATGCGGAGAGTTTTGAAGAGTTTCATCCCTAAGTTTTAAATCACATGTGTTGGTTTTCCTGCAGACAACATGGAGAGTACCTGAAAAGAATGTTCTATATAAGCACCACTAAAAAAACCTGACTATAAGTAATAATGCTATCAAATCGTTAACCTGCTCACAATTCAAGGTGGCTGGCAGACTATGGCTGGTAGCTGCATTCTCTGATGCCCACAGTAGCCTTTGTTTCAAGACTGCTACCCAATATTTCACAAGCACTCTTCTTGCTGCTTTCATGTTGATGTACTGGTGCATGCAACGATGAAGCTATATATTTTAGCATCACACCTTGTCACTTCCTGGCAGTTGCTGGCTCTGACACATACCAATGTTCCTTTGGGAGCCAAATTTTTTTAGGAAGCAAAAGCGAATATAACCGAGTACCTAAAATCAAGTGATTGTGAAAGAAATAGTTTTTTTCTATATCTGCATAAGACAAAATTGTGCAGAAGATCGATAAGCTGATTTATTTTAACAAGTCTTGAAAAGCAAATTTTGTGACTCACTTATTTGAGAGACACATCTTAGAGCAGACGACTGAGACGCATAGCATCTCTTCATGTGGTCTGTGTAGAAAAAAAAAGGAAGCAGAATTGCCAAGGGGAAATAGCCACTAGTATAGCCTGCCATGGACAGTGCTAGAAAGATACATAGATATGCTAGCAATGGCTCACAACAGTGCATTGAGTAAAGAAAAATGTACACACTGGGGTTATGCCACTCCTTTGGGCAATTCATCATGAGACATTTGTGCCTCATGTGCAACATGCATTCATATGTCTTATTTAACCTGCAAATATTAGGTGCACAAGAACCTAATTAAACAGAACACTGATTGCCTTTAACAATTCGTGCAAAACTTAATTTAGACAGAGACTGGCACTATAGCTGCTTTGCAAAAAGTTGACAGCCACACAGCACATGGGATTGGTTTTTCTGATTCAGCCGTATTGTCTTGTTTTTGTGATAGTAGGGCATTCATGTACGAATATATAAATGATGCATTTAATGCGTAGGAACTGAGGAAGAGAAGAGTCCAACATGTGCTCGTGTTATATACTCAGAGGTGGGGCTGAAACAAAGCGTGGTCAGAAAATATGTAAGCGATATGTGTGACATCTTTACTGGATCTGACACCATTTCTCTTCCCTTACAGTGAGGCTCAGGAGACTTACAGGAATGCTGTTGACCGTAAGGAACATTGGAAACACTTGACCATAACAAGTAATGCCATCAAATAGCTTACATTTCCTTGATACTCTTTGATGCTGGCTTTTAGCTCGGTCTTGAATCAAGAAATCAGTCGAAAATGAACCTTGCATCGATGCTTTCCTGCCTTCACAGAGGTACAGGCGCAAGCAAACTGACACTGAAAAGAAAAAACAGAACGACAGGGACACGCACACACAGACAAATGGACAGACAGATAGATGCACAGAAAAATTGCATACGGAAAGACAGACTGACGGGCAGGATAGAAGCACAGACTCAAGCAGATCGACGGTGATAAGAATGGACGAAGAGACAACTCATACAGAAAGACAGAAATTCACAGACTTATAGATGCACAGACAACACACGTATGGAGAGATAGGTTGATGGGGAGAAGGTGAGACAGGTAGATGGACAAACAGACAGAGAAAGACATTTACAGATGCAACAAGAAAGACAGGCAGAAAAAACTGGAAGACATTATCGACATAGGAACACACAGTGCGAAAACAGGCAGAAAGTAAATGAACAGACATACTTGCAGCCATATGTATGAATGGACCGTCACACACACAGATGGTCAAACGGTCGTGTGGATGGAGAGATGTGCACAGATGACCGGGCAGACAGACATTGATCAAGGAGATGGATGGACAGAAAGATGGACTTACGGACGGATGGACAGATAGATAAGAGCAATAAACTTTGATAAAAAAACCCACAAAAACAGACAAAGAGGATGAATAAAAAAGACAGCTTAACAAGTGCGCTCTCGCAGGTCAAGCACCAGCCTACTATATAATACTACATGAGAATCCAGGCTTTAGCATTGCCTTGGGCAGTGGTTATCTGTGCTGCACCAGGGAATCTGTCAATTAGGAGCAAGTCAAAGGATTCACTTTGCCATTACCAAACATTCAGGCAGATCACATTAATCAGGGCTAATGAAAATGTCGCCATATCCACGAAGTCAATGATGACGAGTGCGGCCAGGCAAATGGATTCGCGTAGTGAGGGACGGGCGCGCGGAGAACGGTACGCGACGGACGGGTACGCGATGGACGGGTACGCGACGGACGGGTACACGACGGACGGGTACACGACGGACGGGTACACGACGGACGGGTACACGACGGACGGGTACACGACGGACGGGTACACGACGGACGGGTATGCTTCGCCCGACTCATCATCATTCACTTCATGAATATGCTGCGAAAACCTCCGATGCCATCTAGTTAAATTATTTTAAACGGCATATACAATGCCATCTATTGTGCAGCTCAAACATGAGGTGGTTTCATACTACTACTACAGAGAAGGGGGCCGACCGACGACGTAAGGAGCTTCGCATCGATAATACTGACAGTCAGACAGAGTGGTGAATGGATGCAAAGATGGTTGAACGAATGGATAGAGAAACATAGACGCAAAAATAGAAAGATAGAGGAACAGATGCAGACAGACGGATGGTAACTAGAAAGGAGCAAGAGAGAGATATACGTAGAAACAGACAAAAGGCTGTATCGACAGGTAGACTGGAAACCCACGTGTAGAGAGACAGATTGACGGATAAGCTAAGGACACAGATGCATACAGACAGCCAAAAGAATGGACGAACAGATGGTTATAGACGCATATAGATTTACAGACAAATGAACAGACTGATATATACACAAAAAAAACCCACGTACGGAGAGACTAGTTGACGGGCAGGATAAACGTGCAGACACACAGACGGGTCGTGAAAAGATTGCATGAAGAGAGGAACAGACATTCAGAGACACAGACAGATGTATAGATATGCAGAAAGGCCACCTAAGAAGAGACGCACTAACGGGCAGAAAACAAGACAGGACAGATGAAAGGACAGACACACACACGGATGGACGGAAAGAAAATTGTACGTACGGGAGTGTCGACAGATGTTCGAAAAGACTAGGCTGATATATAACGAAAATTGAAGAAGATGGATGCGCAGACAAACGATGACAGACAGAGATGGGCGCGAACATAAGTGCAGAGACAGACATGTTTATAAATGTAGACCGAAGGACAGACAGCCGGAGGCAGATGAAGGGACATACGCAGTCAGGAACAGACTAAAGACCTCAGAGGGACACATTGAAGCGCTGTCACAAGGACATACAGAGAGAGGCAGAAAGAGAAACGTGGACAGACAATGAAGCAGATAAGCGCACAGATATGCAACAGACAGTTGGACAGACAAATGCGGATGGTGAAATTCAGACAGACAGATGAGCAGAATAATAGACTTCTAGGTAGAGAGAAAGGAGGGCACTGAGAGTGAGCCTGATGAAGAGACAAGGGTGGACAGGCAGGCGCTGCATGTGAAGCATTTCATCGTGAAGTGTTCGATGGTATGGCCGTTTATGTCCTACATCGACTTTCATAATGTCATTGAGGACCTGCAAATACAATTACACAGAATTTATTAATACGAGTACAGTGGACAGAAATAATCGCAAATCTAAACTTATTGTAGACCCTTTTTTAAGTGCCTGCAATTAAAATCTTTAGAGAAGGCCTATAGAGCATATCCATGTATGGGATAATGTTATTTGCTCAACTGTAAAATACTCGTAAAAATATCTTGACAAAAACCTTTACTATGCATATGTATTATTTTGATATCAGTTACCACCTGAAATCATGAACCTAATATTTGATATGACCTGCTTGATTGATATATACGATATAACGTCCCAAAACCACCATATGATTATCAGACGCCGTAGTGGAGGGTTCCGGAAATTTCGACCACCTGGGGTTCTCTAACATGCACATAAATCTGAGCACACAGGCCTACAACATTTCCGCCTCCATCGTAAATGCAGCTGCCACAGCCGGGATTTGATCCCGCTACTTGCGGGTCAGCAGCCAAGTACTTTATGCACTAGACCACCTCGGCGGGGCTCGATATGGACTGCTGAAGCAGTACGCTATTCTCCGACATTACCACATTTAAGTAAAGGCGCTCTAACATTACTTAATCCATCAAGCCAGAGTCACACGAACTAGTTTTTGAAACAGCCTTTTTTCACAAACCTGCATATTTATTGCTGTACAATATTTTTTCTTTATATTGAATCATCAATATGACCTAAGCCTGAAAGCAAGCTAACGAACACTCCTACTGTGAAGAGATTCCGTTGCTTAAAACTGCCTCGGAAAAAGACTGAATACAAGCACCAATCGTTTATCAGATTTCATTCTAGGTTTCTTTTATTGCTTCTATGTAATAAACATTGTATAGGCATGCCCATAAGTCTTCAAACTGCAGTCAAGTGGTATAAACGAGCTGAGGACTTCTGAAAATCAGCCTATCTTTGCACCGCAACACGCTCGGCACTGAGGAAGCAACGGAGCATTTGTAAAAAGTGTGCACATACATATCAAGTCCTTTAGGCGGTTTGGGTTTAGGGCGAATGTGCTATTTGTCATCCTCGTCAGCCTGACTACAACCACTGCAGGGTGAAAGCTTCTTGCATAATCCGCGAATCAACCTGGTCTTGTACTCTGTGCTGCCACGACGTATATGCGAATTTTTTTATCTAGTCTGCCCACCTAACTTTCTCCCTTTCCTGCGTTTGTCTTCTCTGGAAATTTCATTTTCAACTGTAAAACGACAGGAGGGTCACTTGAAAAACGTTCAGAGTAATTCTGTAGCACTGACCATTCATAGGAGCGTTGAAGTTGGCATAATAGACAGCTTGTGCCCAGACGTCCATGCCGAACAGCGGGCACAGTCGAGAAGCCAGCATCAGCCCGAATTTGCCTGCAGGTTTAGCAACACTGACAGTCCAAGATTAGGAAGCACAAATTTTGCACGGGACCGTAGCAAAGCACTTATCTGTAAATTTTTCAAAAATTTACAAAACACGTCACTACTTGAAGCGGTAATCACTTCTTTGTAGAACTCTTAAAAGGGCATATTATCCGAAATATCGATACGCATCTCCTACCTCAAAATGAGGAAAATTCAGAAGCTTCCATAAAATACTGACCGAAATTGAACGCCAATATGTACCAGTGGATCCCCCCTTCGCAAGCCTCGTTACACAATTTTTGTCGAGATTACCAAGACGCACGCCAAATATGAGTGATCAAATTTTGCGTTAGCTTCAATGCTTGACGTTGGCGAATATTTTTTTCTGCGAGCAGAGAAGGGCACGTGACGTATGCTTCCCGCTATTGCACTCGGGGTTAAGCAGATCTTTCGGAACTATATACCAAATGCGCACGCACTACATAACGTTTTTTTTATTGTCTTGGAAGAACAGCAGACTTACGTGAAATATAGATCTCCAAATTATAGAGAAAGTAAAGGATGCACTCGTAATAAGTATCAGAGGCATCCATTTGACTGCACATTACAAAAGATATCTGGCAGCAAGCCGGCCTAAAAATTGATTGATTGATATGTGGGGTTTAACGTCCCAAAACCACTATATGATTATGAGAGACGCCGTAGTGGAGGGCTCCGGAAATTTAGACCACCTGGGGTTCTTTAACGTGCACCCAAATCTGAGCACACGGGCCTACAAAGCCGGCCTAAAAAGAACACAGCCCGAAGCTATAAGTAATTTGTACGGTTGATATATGGGGTTTAACGTCCCAAAACTACCATATGATTAAGAGAGACGCCGTAGTGGAGGGCTCCGGAAATTTCGACCATCACTCGAAAATTGATATGAATTCAAGCGCTCGTTGAACAGAATTAGCGGGAAGTATAAACGGCGTAGCATGCCAACAAATTCAGTTAAGTAAATGCTGCCTTACTCCAACAAGCATTGATATATCAGCGTCGATGACTATACGCTTGACTGCGGGGCTATCACGATTGATAAATTTATTTCTTTAGTTAAGTTTTCTGCACTTACACTATATACTACGGTCACAAAGTTCATACGAGTGGCAAAAACAACGTAGCTTTAAAATACTAAGGTCAATTGGAGCCGTAAGGCAGACAAACTCGCAGAAGAGAAACAAAGCAAAGCTATCGTGACATTTAGAAGTATTGCAAGAAAGCAGCGCTACCTGCTTATATAACGAAATACAGCTAATCGAAAAGTGAGTGACGCCCATATAGGATGAAAAAAAAAACTTAAGGAATTAAAGAGAACATCCCCAACCTACCGCGCAAAAAAAAAATACTGCCATAATCGAGTGCAAAACATTACAGGAAACTGTAGAAAAAAGCCGTTTTTTTTAGAATTAAGTTGATTATGACGCACGCAGATTCGGGCAATTCTGTATAAATGTGGAACAAGTATGGCACGTACATAAATCTACGTGCAGGGGCATTGTGCCCCCTTTACAATACTGGGGCTAGAGACGAACCCACGTGCTCATAATTATATGTATCAATACGCCTAAAGCCTGTGACGTAGCCAATTGAGGTATTCCCTTCTTCCTACCCCCCTCCCTCTTAAAATATGTTTCTCACTACGCCCCTGCCTAGCGCCCTAACTTACTTCTGTGCGCGCAAACTCACCTCCCGGCGAGAATAGCGTTTCAGAAATCGAAAAACATTGCTTCCAAATGTAGCTGAATATATTTCTTCAGTTGGATACATTCTTCAAAAGTTAGAGATTCATCTTTTAGATAAGTTCACAGCAGATGGGCCCCATGGAACGAACGAAATAAGGTAGACATGCGCTTATCTGCCTCGTTCCGTTGTGAACAGCGCAGTTTGCTAGAATCCGTACCAAATCGCCAAGCTTTAAACACTTGTTAGGCTAATGAGAAGTAATTATGAGAGCTCACTCGCTATAGGGGCGAAGCTCGCAAGAGCGGTGTAGAAGAAATGGCACACCTTTCCATGTCGACCCCGGCAACGCGCTGGCCAGAACGGCGTCTAATCCCGTATCGTGCGCACGAACACTGTCGACCAGACACTGAACAGCAACGGTGCACGCGCTTCAGTCCAGCGAAAGCAGCCGATATTTATCGGAGGCCCGATGAAATTCTCAAGACGAGACAGGTTTATCTCCGGTCGCTATGGCAACCGGAAATCCGCACCGCTGCTTTAGGCGAGTGAAAAACGGCCGAAAACTGATCGACAGCTTTGGTCAGGCGCGCCGAATTCATCACGAGACCGTCCGCCGTGGAATTCGGTTTCCCGTAGATGCGCCGATTGCGATAACATGAGAATATATCTTTTTGGTCCCGGTGCTTCGTTGAGGCTAGGAAAAAAAGTGCTGCCGCCATTACACTGACGGGCCCGTGTCGTACCTGCTTTTTCTGATCAAACCCGCTCGCGTATGTCCCGGCAAAGTAATTAGAATGGGAGGCAAAGTAATTAGAATGGGCAAAGTAATTAGAATGTTCCCCAAATCATGGTAAGATTACGAGAGACGCCCCGCTAGAGTGCTCCGAAAATTTCGCACTTCTATGGTCTGATAACCACGATCACATCTGTGCACATGGGTATTAGATGTTCTCCTTGACGATGCTTCCGATCGGAAAACTCTCCATGGTCTCGCACAGCTAGCTCGGAACTCAAGGTAAGGATATTTGTTGGGTTTCAACGTGTCAAAACAATCATATCAGACACCGATGAGGACGCCTCCAGAAATTTCGGCAACCTGGAGTTTTTTAACGGGCACCTAAATGTAGGCACAGTAACTTCAGGGCATATGAATTCCGCAGAGCTGTATAAATCCAGCATAAATTTGGGCCCAACTACGGTGCACCTAAGCCCACAGCGCAGACTGTTCTTTGCATTTCGCCCCCGTTAAAATACGTTTACCGGGAGATAAGCCTTACCGCTACGCCTAACGCAACAAATTAAAGCGGTGGGCGGAACCTAACCTGTCAGGGAGAATAGCGTTTTCAGCCTTGGGACATCATTACTTCGAAATGAGGTTAAAGATAATGGTTGGTTAGGATACTCTCCCAGAAGGCTACCGAGAATAGAACCTGCGAGAAAACTCACTTGTTAGCCGCGAAGCTCCCACAAGTGGTGTAGGCGAAGTTGTGGCAGCCTTCCATGTCGACGACGACGTAAGGCACATGCTGTTGAAATGGCGACTTGCACACACGGACGAGGTCGACGAGACAAAGTACAGGAACGGCGCACGCATTCCAGTATGTTGACGGCAGCCCATACCTATCGCAACCCTGACTTAAACCAGAGTCCTTCAATGCTTAAACTCTGCTTAAACTTTAAGGCGACAAAGGTTACATTGGCAGTAGCTATAGCAAGCGAATGCTGAAAATGCGAAATACACTCCGCTAACGTAGGCGAGCGAAGAACGAAGGAAACAGCCGTGTCCGACAGCTCCGGCTAGCAGTGCCGAGTTGTACACGTGACTGTCTGACGTGAATCCGGTTTTCCCTCAACGTGTTGATAACGATGGTTGCATGAGATGATATCTTTTCTGTGTCGGTGATTCGGCATGCTTACGTTAAAGAAGTGCTGGCCCCACTTAACCGATCGATGCTCGTCGTTCCTGTTTTTTTTTTTTTTTCTGGCCAAAGTCGCTCACGAAGGCCTTCATCAGAAGTATAAAATTGGAGGGAGTTGAAAAGGACGAACACGGTCACCCAATAGTTTGTAGGTTTCAGTGAAAACTACAAGTGACCTTTAAAATACGAACCTATATATGCTCAAAATGTGCTCTCAAAAATGTTTTGCAATACTGAAAAGTGCGTCGCATAGCGTTTAGCAATATGCAAGCATTGTTACCATGTTATTGTTTCGGACGATAGCGAAAAAGAAATGAACGATTATTTTGAAGCAATGTTTCGATCGATACCCGCTGTGACCCTGAGGTGGGACTATTCCTTCTAGTCAGGGTACCCTCAGGCTTCTACTGTCCTCTTGATTTTGGCGACGAGTTGTCGCTCGTCTCCCAGGTCCTCTAGTACGAGCTTGGCCTCCCACGTTTCGATGAGGGGGTTGTTGTTCATTTTTGGTGCATGGTTCACGTCCGGCTAGGGTTACATGCAGTGGCGTAACTAGGGGGGGGCAAGGGGGTACAAGTGCCCCGGGCGCCACTAGGGAGGGGGCGCCAAGCCGAGTCCTCGGGTTGGCGCCCCCTGGAAAGGTTGTCAATGTTTTTTTCCGTAAAACCGCCTGGAAGGGGGGAGGGGCGAGGTTGTAATGTACGACTGGAAGTGGGGATGGTGGTGAAGGAAAGGGTTGCCGCAATGGCTTTTGCATCGGGAAAAGGATCCTCTATTTTCATTTTGCTGCGCTACCTCCGTGCCTTCCCATGACCCTCGGCTAAGCTTTGTTTTGTGCTCCGCAGCACTGGGTTAGATGAGTTTCAGCGAACCCCACCAGCCTCCCAAACCACTTACTGAAAGCTTCCCTGAAACCAACCACGTACGTAAACAAAATAAAATAAAAAAGTTCGAATGCACCTTTTTTGAGTAAGAACAGAAAACTCCAACGAAATAGCCGATCGTCCAACGACTAATCGTCCACGCAGCGGCGGAAGGAAGGGCGAATATAATCCGTGACCTCGGCACCAAAGGCTAAACAAAGGCGTTTATTCGCAGAGTTCTCTGGAGGAAAGACGGAGAAAGCGTGACACGACGGCGACGTTTGTTGATTCCCTGCATCGCGGGCGCCAGCAAAGCAATAGAAGGGCGGGGGTCAACGTTTCCCACATGCCATCCACCGCCATGGGCAGGTTCATCCTTTGGCCCAAAGAACACGCACCTGCGAAAAAAGCGCAGAGCGTAGTGTACCCGACAGCATGTGCCGACTGCCCCGCTTCGTACGTTGGAGAAACCAAGAACTTCCCTGAAAGAATGCGGCCGCACAAGGATGACCTCCATCAATGGAACAGCGAACGGAGCGAAACGGCAGAACACTCCGACCAGTTTAACCCCCATACCAGACCCGAGGGCGCGGTGTCTAGCTGGTTGCTTTGTTTTGTACTCACCCTGCATTCCTTGGGATGCACAAATAGCGCGAAAGCTTAGGTACGAGAAACTTGGGCCTGGGAAGCGCCCGTGCCGTCAAGATTTTTGCAGTGTGGACTGGAAGAGAACAATGACGGGTAAGGGACTTCCGGAAGTTTGAATAAAAAAAGAAAAATACTATACAAAAACGCGGGCGTAGCTCATCGAAATCAGAACTGGTGGCCCTTGGCCTCCGAAATGGCCCGCCGCGCGCCAGTAGGCAATCGCGGAAGCCTACATTAGCGCTTTTAATGGGGGGGGGGGCTGTAGTAATAATTATTATTAATAATAATATTATTATTATTAATAATAATAATATTATTATTAATAGGAGCTGTAGTAATAATTATTATTAATAATAATATTATTATTATTAATAATAATAATAATAATAATAATATTATTATTATTATTATTAATAATAATAATAATAACAAACATTATCACGGGCATAATGAGGGGCGCGGAAATATATTTGCCCTGGGCGCCGTCCTATCTAGTTACGCCACTGGTTACATGTCTTGGTTTGCATGGCACTGGCATTCCAGGAGAAAACGTGCTAGGGTGCCCGTACGCTGCAGACAGGACACAAGTAGCCATGTGTCGTTCACTACAGGCCATATATTAATACTCCTTGTATATGCGTGTGGCTTTGCAGGCTTCTCCTGACCATGCTGTCTTCTTTAGTGAGGTATGGATGGAGTACGCCTATCGCTCCAGTTTGTAGTGTCATTCGGAAGAGAGCTTTAAAAAAATGGTTAATGCAGCACGCACTCTTGAATTGAAAAGAAATTTAAACACGCGATGTAAGGCCGGATAGAAGCCAAAACAGATAAGACTTGAAAATTTCAGCAGATCATATGTCATGGAGAAATGGGTGGCATGCGATTTTTATAGTCAGTCGACAGGTGAGTCGGCGTTCTAATAAAAGGTACATACGACAGGTAAATACCAACCAATCAAAAATATATTTCTCGAGAGAACTTTCGTTGGTCTTGAAATCTCCATCGTGATCTAGGCAGCCTGACTGGCTCCCTGAAGACTCCGATATTCCCCGAGTCAGACACTCCCAATAGACATGATCATCTTCGGTGATAATTATAGGATGCTTTAGTAATAATTCAGTGTTTTAGGGAGTTAGACGAGATGAGATCCAGCCGATTTAGGTGGAGCCTTGGTATTTGAGCGTAATGAACGGGAGTCTAGTATTGACCGACAACCAATGCTCATGTGGTGAACTTCAGCGGCCAGCCGCTGAATAGAGGTGGAGCCCCTCTTGAGCGTCCTCCTAGGTTTCGGCCAGGCATGATTAGGTCGTGGCCGAGAGCTGCGAAGGAGTCCGCCCAAAAGCAGCAATGAAATTGCAGTTCATCTCTGCCCAGTATTTCTGCTGCACACCTTCGAATCTATGCCTCAAGGTGGCAACATTTTGAAGGTGGTCCATAACAAAGGACCACTTCTGCTGTTCCGTCCCTGCATTGCGAGCTCCGAGAGAATTGATAGTAGTCACCCAGTTGTGGTGTAATCCTGAAAGCCATGGAAAAGCGGGTGTTCAAAGGCAACTCATGATGGCAGTACGGCTGCAGAAACTCTTTAGCCGGTCGACGCCATGAAGCCGAGTTGGTATGAATGCGCTCCGAAGGTATTACAGAGCTAACTGCGGCTCTCGGGTGGAGTCTTTTCATGGTATTGCAAGGCGGCTGAGGTCATCACGGCTTCAATTGTTTGCAGTTCTGGCAAGGCCGTTAGAAACAGCACAGAAGTCGATGCTGTCAAAGCATTGACCCCAACGAGGAGTCACACGATGGTGCAAAAAAGCAGTGTGGCACATTCGGGCGATTCGCACGCAGGTTGAGTGGTGATGTCCGAGGAGTAATCTTCGAGTGGTCCAGTCAAAGTGGCGGCGTCGTTGGCCAACGAAGCTTAAACAGAACCCTTGATTGGCTTAGACACGCACGGACTATTGAACGAGTGTTAGTCGCAGTGTGAAGTGTGAACGATATTTCCGGGGAACGGTAGCGCGTGAACTGTCGGCGCCTCTAGAGTAAGATTGCTCTTGAGCCACTGAGGGAGCCTGGACGCCAAATGCGGACAGCGTTCGCAGCACCAGGAGGTCATGCGGCTGCAAGGGCACGCACGAGGCATTTCTGATGTGTGCTCGGTGCGCTCGCATGTTGGCGTGTTTCTAGGTCGAGGAAGCGTGGGCATGGCCAGCCGGCATCTGCCGTAAGGCTTTGTTTATGACAACTGCAGCGCCAATCTAGAAGAACGAGTCACAAACAAAGCACCCGCTTCGTATGGCGCTATTACATTATATTCCTTCATCGTGCTCTTATGCTAGTTCACAGCGCAGCCTAAAAAGCGCGCCAGCACTTCGGCGGCGCTGTCATATCTGCACTAAATAAAACAAAGATATACAATTTATACCCGTATCAATAACTGATGCCTGTTATATGATGACAGAACAACCTAAATCGCTAGGAAGTGTCCAAGCATAAAGTTTTAGAAAAGGAATTAAGTAAAAATAAAGCAAAGAAGTGTTCTATATCGTGAGACCGTGTGTGTTCTTAACACGGCTGGATGCGTAATTTTACAGAATATGCAGCGCCTCGTCTCTGGTATCAAGATTTCCGATTCATTGCCGGCAAAACGGGCCGCGCGCCGTGTTTGAGTGGCCACTCTCCTACACCTTTCAATTCATCTCACCTGAGGAGTGCTGCCGTCTACTGGCGAAATCGAACGCTAGTTAAGAACGCGGTATTGCCTGAAAGATAACAAAACACAGCTTGTTCATCTGTAAGCACATGCTTTCCGGCTTTATGTTGTAGGCCAAAAATATCTGCGATGCATTGGCGCTTTTTTTTTTATCGTCGCGGTAGTAGTCTAGATTAGGTAGGCGCTAGCCGGCTCAATTTCCAAGCTGGGGTTTGACTGGCTTCATTAGTAGTCCTGCGTTTTAATAACTGTGAATGAGCCTTCGCTCTAACGTAAATAACACACGTAGTTACAGTCAGTCGACAAACGATTTGCGTTCTCAAAAACGGCACATATGACAGGAAAATGTGAACCTATAAAAAGTTTATTTCCCGTAGAAATTTTCGTTTGTCTTCAGGTCTTCATTGTGATCTAGGCAGCCTGACTTGCTCCCTAAAACCTACGACATTCTCTGAATCAGACACTCCCAATCGGTATGGGCAACTCCGGTCATAACTATAACATTTGTTAGTAATAACGCAGCGTTCTAGAGAGTTAGACGAGATAGGATCCAGACTATTAAGCTGCAGCCTTGGTCTTCAATATTGACCGCCAACCAAAAGCTTATGTGGTGAACTGCAGCGCGCAGCAGCAGAATCCAGGTAGACACCCTCTTTAGGCTCATCCTCGGTTTGCGTCAGGCATGATTAGTCGTGGCAGATAACTGCGAAGGAGTCCGGTCAAAAGCAGCAACGAAATTGGAGCTTCTCTTCACTCAGTATTCTTGCCGTACACCTTGGTAACTATGCCGCACTGCGACAGAATTTTGACGGCAGTTCATACCAACGCACCACTTCTAGCGCATTCATTCCAACCTGCAAATGCATTCATGTTGGTGACCCAGTTGTGGCGTCGTCCTGAAAGGCACGGAATGGCGGATGTTCGAAGGCAACTAATGATGGCAATACAGCTGCAAAAACTGGAGCATGTCGATGCCATGAAGCCGAGTTGACATGAATGCTCTTCGAAAGCATAACAGTGTTTACTGCAGCTACCGGGTGAAGCCGTTTCGCAGTCTTTCAATGCAACTGCGGCCATTGTGGCTTCAATCGCCTGTAGTGCTGGCAAAGCCATTGGAAACAGCGCTGAGGTCGATGGTGTCAAGGCATTGGCCCTAACGAGGAGTCACACGATGGTGATAAAAAGCTGAGCGGCACATTCAAGCGATTCGCACACAGTGTATGTGGAGATGTCCGAGGAGTACCGTTCGAGCGGTGCAGTGAAAGCTTTGGCATCGTTGGCCAAAGAAGGTTAAAGAGTACCCTTGATCGGCTTAGACGCGCACGGAGTATTGAACGAGGGTTATTCGCGGTGGGAAGTGTGAACGACCTTCCCGGGGAACGGTAGTCCATGAAATGTCTGGCGCCTCCGGGGTAAGATTGCTCTTGAGGCACAGAGGGGCCTGGGCACCAAATTCGAACAGTGTTTGTAGCATCAGTAGGTCATGGGGCTGCGAGGGCGCGCAAGAGACAATCCCGACGTAAGTTTGGATCGGTTCCATAATGACGTGTTTCATGGTCAAGGAAATGTGGACTGCGTTCCTCAGGTGTTGGATAAAGAACGTCAAAACCGCTGTAGCACAGCCGGCATCTGCTGTAAGGCTTCGTTAATGACAACTGCGCCGTTCTAGAACAACGAAGCACAAACAAAGCAGCCGCTCCTTGAGGTGCCGTTACGTTATACCCCTTCATCGGGCTCTCATTCTAGTTCACAGTGTAGCTTAAAGCGCGCGCCAGCGCTCCTGCGGCGCTGTCATATCTGTACTAAATACAACAAAATATGCCTTTTATACCCGTAGTGAGGACCGATGCCTGTTCTAAGAAACCAGAACAGCCGAAATCGCTAGAAAGTCTCTCAGCAGAATGTTTCAGAAGAGGATATAAGTAGAAATAAAGTAAAATGGTGTTCTATCGTCCGATTTTACGTGTGCTTATCGCGGATGGATGCGTAATGCTGCAGAATATGCGGCGCCTCGTCTCTGCTATCGAGATTTCCGATTCATTGCGGTGAAAGCAAGCCGCACGCCGTGTTTGAAATTCCACTCCCCTTTTTCTTTCAAGCCAACCCGCCTGAAGAGTGCTGCCATCCTAAGGCAACATAACACACCCTAAGAGTGCGCAGTATGGCCTCAAAGATAACAAAACTGAGATTGTTCATCTCGAAGCACATGCTTTACTGCTTGTGTTATATTCGCTTAGAATATCTGTGATGCCATTCGCGCCGTTTTTATTGTCGCGGTGGTAGATCAGGTTAGGTAGGAGCCCGCTTGCTCAAATTGAAAACCTTCGATTCCTGTACACGGCTGGTTATTTTTTGCCCCGCCGCGGTGGTCTAGTGGCTAAGGTACTCGGCTGCTGACCCGCAGGTCGCTGGTTCGATTCCCGGCTGTGGCGGCTGCATTTCCGATGGAGGCGGAAATGTTGTAGGCCCGTGTACTCAATTTGGGTGCACGTTAAAGAACCCCAGGTGGTCAAAATTTCCGGAGCCCTCCACTACGGCGTCTCTCATAATCAAATGGTGGTTTTGGGACGTTAAACCCCACAAATCAATCAATCAAATTCAAAACCCAGGTTTTACTGGCTTGATTTGTAGTCTCGCGTTTTTATTCTCTGTGAATCAGCCTTCACTCTAACGTAAATAACACATGCAGTTATCGTCAGTCGACAGGTGCATTGGCGTTCTTCAAAATGGTACATATGAAAGGTACATACGAACCAATCAAAAATTTATTTCCCGCGGAAATTTTAGTTTGTCTTCCGGTCTCCATCGTGATCTAGGCAGCCTAACTGGCTCCCTGAAACCTACAATATCCCCTGAATCAAACAGTCTCATTTGAAATGGACATCTGCGGTCATATGATAGCATGTGTTAGTAATAACGTAACGTGTTAGGCAGTTAGACGAGATGAGATCCAGCGAATTTAGCTGCAGCCTTTGTCTTTGAGCATAGCAAACTCGAGTCTGGTATTGACCGCCAACAAAGGCTCATGTGGTGAACTGCAGCGCCCAGCATCAGAGTCAAGGCAGATCCCCTCTTTAGGTTTTCCTCGGTTTGGGTTAGGTATGATTAGGTAGTGGCAGAGAACCGCGAAAGAGTCCGGCCAAAACACTTCTAGTGCAATCATTCCGAGCTGCAAAGGCATTGACGTTAGTCACCCAGTTGTGGCGTCATCCTGAAAGCCACGGAATAGCGGGTGTTCGAAGGCAACTAATGATGGCAGTGTGGCTGCAGAAACTCTGGAGCATGTCGACGCCATGAGGCCGAGTTGGCATGGATGCTCTCCGAAGGTATAACAGAGCTAACTGCGGCTCTCGGGTGGAGTGGTTTCGTGGCCTTGCCAGGTAGCTGGGGCCATCGTGGCTTCAATCGCTTGCACTCCTGGCAAGGCCGTTGGAAACAGCACAGAGGTTGATGTTGTCATGGCATTGACCCCAACGAGGAGTCACACGATGGTGCAGAAAAGCTGTGTGGCACATTCGGGCGATTCGCACGCAGTGCGAGTGGTGATGTCCGAGGAGTAATCTTCGAGTGGTCCAGTCAAAGTGGTGGCGTCGTTGGCCAACGAAGCTTAAAAAGAACCCTTGATTGGCTTAGACGCGCACGGAGGATTGAACGAGGGTTATTCGCAGTGTGAAGTGTGAACGATATTTCCGGGGAACGGTAGCGCGTGAACTGTCGGCGCCTCTGGAGTAAAATTGCGCTCCATTGAGCCACTGAAGGGGCCTGGACGCCAAATGTGGACAGCGTTCGCAGCACCAGGAGGTCACGCTGCA